ATATTCTCTTGCCACCCAACAATTATCATAATCATAGCAGCTTCAAACAGCCCCATTTGTTAGTTCACGGTTCTGTGGTTCCCAAGTCTAGCATGATGTAGCTAGGTTTTCTGCTCAGAGGATCATATGGCTAAAATCAAAGTGTCAGTTGGGCTGAATTCTTGTCTGGAGACTTTATTTCCAGGCTTATTCAGGTTGTTGGCACAATCCAGTTCCTTGTGGTTAGAGGTCTAAGGTCTCATTTTCTTGCAGACTCTAGTCCTGTGTAGCTGTCATTAACCAGAGGCCACTCTCAGGGCCTTGCCATGTTGCCCCTCCATCTTCAAACCAGCAAATGAGCACTGAATCCCCCTTATAGCCTCCTCTGCCAGGAGCCAGACAAAACACACTGCTTTTGAAGGGTTTGCATGATTATATTAGAGCCACTGGGATAGTCCCCCTATCTTAAGAACTGTGGAACACTGAATGTGAATCACTCTATTAAATTATATTTAGGCTAAATTACTTTTATTGTGAATGTGACACAAGGTTTTGTTGTGCTGAAAAAATGAATTTACTTTTTAAATAAGTCTGTCAATGAATCAGTAAAGGTAATTTTAAAAAACATGTTTTGAAGGGTTATTTGACATGCCCAATATATTAGCTAGAATCCTTTGTTTTCATCAGATAACAGTGAGTAGTGTATCTCCTTGATGTTTCGTGGTCTTGTCCAGACACTAATAATACAAACTCATAGATGTTAGAGCTAACAGCGATCAGAGATCGTGGGCCCTGGTCCCGTTCTTTTCACAAATGAGGCAGAGAATCAGAGTCAGTCTATGACTGAGAGAAGGCACTGAGTCGGCTAGTTAGCAGCACAGGCTGACCTAAAATACACATTTTCTTATTCTCTATCTGGTAGTAATAATAATAATAGTACCATTAATTGAAGATTTTTTATGTATCAGATACTACTCTAAGCAACTTTAAATATATTGTTTTTGTTAATCCTCACAAAAAAACTATGAGGTAGCCATTATTATTTCATCGCCATTTCATAGTTTGAGAAAACTGAACCACGAAGAGGGTAGGTCAGCTGCTCAAGGTCTCCCAGCTTGTAAATGAAAGAGCTGGAACCCAAAGAGGGCCATCGGACACTGGGCCTGATCTCTTCACTGTGCTCTCCTCTTTCCACCTCAACGTGTTGCTTCTGACGGGACGTTCCCTATGCATTAGTCACAGAGGTAGAGTAGAATGGTCTAGTCTACACTAGGGAGCTGTGGTAGCGTAGTGCCTAAGGCACTTGACTGCTAACCAGAAGGCTGGTGGTTCAAACCCACCAGCCACTCCCCGGAAGGAAGATTGGGCAATCCACTTCCATAGTGATACTGCCTCAGAAACCCTAGAAGGGGTCGCTATGAGTCTGGTCCATCTTGACGGCACATAACAACAACAACAACATTCTACACTAAGCTGCTTAACCGTTGCACCACAATAGGTTGTCAGTTTGAACCCATTCATCCCTTCTAGGGAGAAAGACCCATTACTTCCATAATGATGACAGCCAGGAAAATCCTGTGCGGCAGTTCTACTCTGTCACATGGGGTCCCTAGGAGTCGAAATCTACATCACAACATCCAAAAACAACAACACAGGGAGTTTGGTTTTCTTTTGGTTTAAGCTGCATACACTACCAACATGGTTATATTCTGACAATAACTTAGGGAATAGGAGTAAATTTGGAGTCAAGATTGTGTATAAACTCTGGTTCTGTCTCTTATTGTATGGCTTCAGGGAATTGTGTAACAACTGGGGTACTTACATGCATGTCTTTGTCTTCTTCTAACTTCTTCCCATATCAAATGGGAATTGTTAGAGTTGTTATGAAGAAGATGCATGTAAAAAAGCTGTTTGTACACTACAGCACGAGAAACTGATTGTATTATTTTTGACAAATGGTAGCAGGTTCTCATCACTCCATATTAGCCAAATTTTCAAGTCCCTTTTGCTGGGATAGTGCAAAGACTATGTCCTGAGATCTTCAGGAACCTCATTTCCTTTGCAGTCATATGTTTGCGGTACAAATCCTCGTGCCACATTTTCAAACTTCACCGAAGAGTGTCTCACTCAGTGGTGATTTTTCATTCTCAGAGGCATCCTTCAAGGAGGTGGAACGTTGCAGCTGCATGGAGAGGAAGGGCCTCAGCCTAGTCCTCTCACGTCAGCCCAGCACCTTCCACGATTCTATTTCACACTTGGGAAAGTTGTATTACTTTCTGATAGGGCTTTTGGAGAAAACTCTGAAAATCATAAATATAAAATTAATGAATTCCAAGACTCTGTATCCTCATCCTCCCCACTCCTTTATCATTTTACCCTATTTGTTTTATGTTTGAGTGATTTCACCATCCGAAAGTAGATGGTAGACGTTCTAACACTTTGATCAAAATACTTTGGCGTGCATCTCCTAGTGATAAGGAAATTCTCCTTTATAATATATAATACTATCCACGTAAGAAAATCAACAATGATTTCCTAATCCTAGCTAGTATCAAATCGGTATTCAGATTTCCCTAAAATTGTTTGTATAGTGTTTTGCTTTTGGAAGTTTGTTTTGCTTTGTTTTCCAAACTGGAGGCCTATCAAAGTACACTCATAGCATTTGATGGCTACATCACTTTGATGTCTTCTAATCTAGAACAATTTCCCTACCTTGTTAGTTTGCTTGTTTGTTTTCATAATGTTAACTTTTTGAAGAGAGTAGGCCAGTTGTCTTGAACAATATCCCATGGTTTGGGTTTATCTGGTTGTTTCGTCATTGTGTCATTTGTTATTCTGTCCCCTGTGTTTTTCTAAACAGGCAGTTGGTTCCAGAGACCTAATTGGACTGAAGTTGTATGTTTTTGTCAAGAACAACTTGATAGGCCATAGTATGTATCTCCTATCAGTAGGTACATAAGATTGCCTAATTACAAATGCTACTAAATTTGATCACTTGGTTAAGAGGGTGGTAGCCAGGTTTCCTGGTATGAAAAGTATGTATTTTTTTCCCTTTAACAGTTACAACTCATTTGTGGAATGATTATTTGGCTCCTATCCTTTTCCTTATATTCTGTTGTACATAAGGTCTCTGTGAGTTGGAGACAACTCGACAGCACGTAACAACGTTACAACAACAACATCCATTTCCTAACCTTCCACCTAATGGTGTTAGCGTCCATTGATGATCCTTTCTTAAATGATTTATTCCATTCAACATTGCAGATTGGTGATTTCTAAATTTTATCATTCGTTTTCTGTATTCTAACTGACATTTCTCTGTGAAGAAGAGCTTCCTCTCCTCACCGGGGGATGCTTTGTAGCCTCCTGCCGTTCATATCAGTACAACATGTTCATTACCAATAATCCAATATGTCAGCCTTACACTGTGGAACTGAGTTATAGATAAGTCATAACTTACTTTCATTTTAATGTATTTTGATGTACGTTAAAGTTAGCAATGAATAATAGATGAAACTTAAAGCAGTGTTTCAAAATGGTGACCAAATATTATAAGAGAGTTGGTGAAAATGGATTTCAGTAAGTCACTGGCAATATTAATCAATGTTTATTAATGTAAAAAGAACATATTAATAACAGGTACTGAGAGAGCATATCGTGTGGCTATATCCCAATATAGGGTCAGTGTGGGTAAGAATATAGGCCTGACCAAAAAAAATAAATAAATACGAACAATTTGGACTATAACCTCTTGCTCCTGTAGTCACTCAAACTCCATATTCCAACATTTGGGGCCCTTAATAATCTCAGCTCAGTTTTTAGCTAACCCATTACCACATTATTCCTGTATGTGGTTGGGTCGTAGCACCGTCCCTTCAATGTATGTGGTCATTCCTACCTCTGCACCTTTGCTTGTGCTGTGTCCCTTACCCAAGACACTCTCCTTGCTTCTCCACTGGTCCCAGTCGACCCATATTTTCAAGGCCATTTCAAATCCTACTCCCTTTATGAGGCTCCTTCCTCTCTGACCTCTCCAGGTAGCACTTCTTACCTCTGTGGTACCTGATTTAGTTTCTTGTTTGGTCTTCTAAAGAGTCCCTGAGTGGCACAGTCGGTTAAGCATTTGCCTACTGTCCGGAAGGTTAGAGGTTTGAACCTACCCAGAGGTACTTTGAAAGACAGATCTGGTGATTACTTTACAAAAGGTCACAACCTTTGGAAAAACCCTATAGAGCAGTTCTACTCGGCACACACAGGATCAGCGTGAGTCACAGCTGACTTGACTGGCAGCTAACAGTCACAGCGTTGGTCTCCTAATTGATTTCTGTAAACCCACCTCATTTCCAAACTATGTAAGATCCTTGAAGACAGTGACTGCCCATGACCAAAATTTACCAAGTTCTTTTCATGTGACATTGCTGAGGTTTCTCATTTCCCTTGGAGAATCTTCCAAAATTTTCTAAGTCCCCACCCCCACCCCCGCCCCGGATGTGAAGCTATTATCAAACAACATTCTCTCCCTTGTGTGGCTTTCTTCACCTTTTAATACCTATCACCACACCAAGATAGATTTTCTTGTGAAAGGTAAAAATAGAATTTGAGGATTACTCACCACCTGTTCTTTGTAAATAGCTTGAAGGCCTAGTTCCTTTACTATGGCAAAAAGAAAAGGGAAGAAATAGGCCTAAGGAAATCTGGCATTTGAATATTATAATGAAAACAAAGCTTATTTTAATTTACTTAGGTTGAACCTGTTGTGTTCCTTTTGTTACCAATTTGAGCACTGTTTTAAATGCACGTAAGACAATGGTATTTTAAGCTTTTTGAAGATGTTTTAGAAAGTTTTCATCCCACTCAACAGGATATTGTTTTAAAAGCCCTTTCTCTCTGTCTTCTTAATAAGAACGCTTTGTGTTTATGCAGCTCTTTTCATCTGAGGATCTCAAGGCGTTGGCTGATTTTTGTTGTTGTTGCCAGTTGGTAAGACAAAACTATTACCCTTTTGTATTCTGTCCCTACAGAAGCCGGAGGTAAAAAGCTCCGGAGCACTGTCCAGAGAAGCACAGAGACAGGTCTGGCGGTGGAAATGCGGAACTGGATGACTCGCCAGGCGAGCCGGGAGTCCACTGATGGCAGCATGAACAGCTACAGCTCAGAAGGAAAGTGAGTGAGGCTGGCTGCAGCGGGCAGCTCTCCGGGGCCGTGGCAGGTCTTCTCTAGTCCACTCTCTGTGTTGTCACAAAAGCCAACTCAGAGGCTCTGCGGCGCCATTTTGATTTTCACTGGCTGAGTTCTTGTGAAGAGCACTTTTTGCTCACCTGCCTCTGAAAATATGACATATCTGGCTTTTTTTAAATCAAGGAGAGTAGGTTTGAGGGTAAAGTGTTATGCTATCATGGCAAGTTGCTAAAATGTGACTCTCAACAACATGTGCAAAGAAAAGATTTGGCCCTTGCTTGAAATAATTTATAAAAGCACTGGAACACTAAGCACTCGTGGTGCACCACCTCGTCAATGCTACTTTTGTCACCTTTGTTCTACCTCAGAGTAACTGTTACTAAAAATACGGAATGCTCAGGTACACTTGTGTTCATGCAGTAAATAAGTAGTTTAAAGTAGCTTTCCTTTGAGTCGGCTATCTCCAAGATATTTTTTTTAAAAAAAAGCATTTATGATGATTGTATAGCCCTGTTGCCAGCAAATAAGGAGTAATCAGCAGCTCCTCATCTTTAGATGGGTGTGTAAAGGACGTTAATAGAGGAAAGTGGAGTTGACTGGCCTTGCCCTGTCATCACCATGAGAATATCAGATGTTGAGGCAGCATGTATGTGGCCAGTTCACAGATGTGAGGCCCTAGGAGCTGCTGGCATCGCAGGATGATATGCCCTCAGGATAATTTGTCTGAGCAAAATCATATATATATATATACACAAGATGTATATGGTTTCTTTATATTTTAGGTAGGGTTATATGAGATATTTATGGAAATAGATTAAAATATGTGAATTAACTGAGTATTTGGGGATAGATGTGAGAAATAGATTTGATGTTAATCAAGGAAGTCTTAGAAGAGATGGAGAATCAAGTAAAAAATAAATGGATGCTGAGCACGTACTATAAAGCACTATGTTAGATACTGCAGAGATACAAATACATTTAAATTATAGCCCCCTGCACTACAGGTGCTTATAATCTTAGGGGAGAAATGAGATGAATACTCATGAATTCATTTAACAAATCTTCGCCATACGTCTGTGTTCCAGGCACTGTGTGCTATGACTTGGAGATTCTGAGTCCTATATGGGAGACAGTATCAGTTGATGGTTAAGACCATGGACTTTGGAATCAAACGGGCCTAGGTTTTCATCTGTTTTGTGGGTTTTGTTTGTTTGTTTTGTTTTGTTGGTATTGTTATATTTTAATTGATGAATTGATTGAGCTTCACAAGTATTTATTGAGTATTTACAGTATCCCAGATGTGGTTCTGGGTGCCAGGAATATAACAGTGAAGCAAACAGACCAAATCCCCACCCTCAGGGAACTTGGTGGAGCTCCACTTGGGTGGAGCAGTTAACCCGCTTGGCTACTAACCAGGGAACTTACATTCTAGTGAAGAAGATAGACAATAAACAAGACAAATTATTAAAGTCTATATATACAAGGAAAATTAATAAAATATGTAGTATATTAATTCAACTCACTGCTGTTGAGTCGGACCCAGCTCATAGAAACCCCTCCTTGGCTTTCCAAGGCAGTATCACTACGGAAGTAGATTGCCCCATCTTCCTTCTGAGGAGTGGCTGGTGGGTTTGAACTGCCAGCCTTCTGGTTAGCAGTCAAATGCCTTAGGCACTACAATACCAGAGAAAAATATGGCAAGAGAAGATATGGTAGAGGGTGGGGTTCTGACTTTGTAGATAGGGAAAGAAGGCCTTGGGTGGAGCAGTTAACCCGCTTGGCTACTAACCAGAAGGTGCCAGTCTCTCCAGAGGCATCTCCACAGGAAGACCTGAGGATCTGCTTCAAGCACTGTTCTTCACCGACACACGTAGGGTGAGCTCAATCAACCAGACAGCACACTTGAGTAAAGATCTGAAGGAAACAAGCGAGTCTCTGGACATTTAAGAATATTCCAAGCTGAGACAGTGATGAGGCCCTGAGGCAGGAGCTTCCAAGGCTATAAATCTTTACAGAAGCAGACTGCCTCATTTGTCTTCCACGGAGTGGCTGGTGGGTTCAAACCACTGACCTTTTGGTTAACAACTAAATGCCTTAACCATTGTACCACCAGAGTTCCTTACAACTTAATATGTTGTTGTTGTTGTTTTGTGCCGTCAAGTCGGACCCGACTCATAGCGACCCCTCCTTGGGTTTCTGAGACGGTATCACTACGGAAGTAGGTTGCCCCATCTTCCTTCTGAGGAGTGGCTGGTGGGTTTGAACCGCCAGCCTTCTGGTTAGCAGTCAAGTGCCTTAGGCATTACCCTACCAGAGCTCCTACAACTTAATATAGGCTTTTCAAATTATTGTAAGGATTTGATATTTGCCTTGAGTGGGATGTATAATCATTGGAGAGTTTTGAGCAGGGGACTGCCATAGTCTGACTTCAGTGTTAACACATCACTCTGACTGCTGTGGGGGAGGGAGAGACTAGTCAGAAGGTTGAAATAATTCAAAAGATAGGTAATGGCGGCTTCAACCAGGAGGGTAGCATTAGTGAGGTCAGAGTATGGTTATATTTTGAGAGTAGAGCCAATAAGATTTATTGATGCATTTGATATGAGTAATGAGAGAAAAAGGTCCCTGGGTGGTACAAATGGTTTGCATACAACTGCCAACGTGAAGGTTGGGGTTTGAGCCCACGCAGGAGTACTGCAAATTAAAAGGCTTCAAGATCTGCTTCCATTACGGTCAGAGCCAAGAAAGCCCTGTGTAGCACTTCTACTCTGTAACACATGGGGTCACCATAAGTCAGAGTCGACTCAACAAGCAACTAGCAACAACGAGAGAAGGAAAGGATATAGGAAGGATAACTCCAAGGCTGAACAACTGAAAAATTAAATTCCCATTTCTTAAGATGGGGAGTCTTCTCAGAGGAATAGAGTTGGGGTTTTTTAGAGGAGAGCAATGCTGGGAGCTCAACTGGGAACAAGTTACGTTTCAGGTGCCAGTAGATATCCATGCAGGTGTGAGTAAGTGATTGGAGCGCGTCTATGGTCCGAGAGAGAGGTCCATGGGGAGATGGCAGTATGGATCACCAATGGAATATGGACATATAAAAAAGATAGTGTGAAAGAAGAAGATGTCGAAGGATTGAACTCCCTATACTTAATGGCAGAAGGAGCAAAGGAGACTGAGGCTAAGTGGCAGAAAGAAGAAAGCCAGAAGACTGAAGGGTACAGGAAACAAATTGGAGAAAGTGTTTCAAGGAAGAGTGAGGGATTGATTGTGTCAACTGCTGCTGTTATGGCGAATTAGATGAGTACTGACAGTTGGATTTAGCACTGTGGTTATTGATTAGAGAAACTTAGAGCAGTGAAAATGAAAAGCTAATTCAAGTTTCAAGAGAGAATGAGAGGAAAGAAATTGAAGATGACACACGGACAGCTTTTTCTAGGAATCTTGCTGTGAAGGGAGGAGATAAAATGAGAGACAAAGCTGGAGAGGGAGGTGGGGCAAGAAAGGGAGTTTTTTAAGGTGGAAAACATTTTGTGTGCTGATGGGGATGACTCAGAAGTGCTTCTTCGTCTGTAAAATAACTTAAGTAATAGAATCTACCTCCTCCTATAACTAAGAGGATTAAGTATAATGCCTGGTGTATAGTGAGTGCTCCATAAGTATTGATTGTTATTGAGGTAAATCACTGTCCCCGCCCTCCAAACCAAGGAAAAGAAAGATGCATAAACATATGCCAGTGATACAGTGAGGAGCTTTGGTGGGGCCATGATTAAAGCATTTGACTGCTAACCAAAAGGTAGGCGGTTCAAACCTACCAGCTGCTCTGCAGGAGAGAAATGAGGCAGCGTGCTTCCATCAAGATTCACAGTCTTGGAAACTCTCTGGGGCAGTTCTCCTCTGCCCTGTAGGGTTATAAAGAGTCAGAGTGGACTTGATGACAGTGGGTTTATGATACAATATAAAAGTGTTTCTGGTAGTATATATGGTCAGCCAGAGAATATGGAGGGAAAGCCATGGAGTGGGGCTTGGGAGACAATAAATTTAAGTGAGAAAATAATGGTACTGATGGGTCCTGCCGTAGGAAGGAGACTGGAGGGAGACTGGGCTTGCCTAAAAGTTTAAATCCCACTTGTTATTTTACTTCTAGTTTGATTTTCCCCGGTGTCCGCTTGGCCTCTGATAGCCAATTCAGTGATTTTTTGGATGGGCTTGGCCCTGCCCAGCTAGTGGGGCGCCAGACCCTGGCTACACCTGCAATGGGTAAGAGTTTCTGTCACATGACTCTGTTCTTTTGTCTTACTGAAATTTGTATTCTGTATATTTCATAGTCTTTAATGTCATCAGCAATAATGAAGTATCCTGGAGCTTAACAATGAGAAGTCTTCAACTAATTTTTTCTATCTTAATTCATAATGCATTTTAAAATATGACATTATTAACATAGAATTTTAAATATATTTTAATTTTAAAAACTGTGTGGGAAATAAAGAGTAGTAGACCAAGGTCTTTGGCATACCCATTTTTCTCACTGTGTTTGTATGCTAAGGTGTGTTTATTTCTTCCCCGTACACCATCAGGTGACATTCAGGTAGGAATGATGGACAAAAAAGGACAGTTGGAGGTGGAAATCATTCGGGCCCGTGGCCTTGTTGTCAAACCAGGTTCCAAGACACTGCCAGGTAAAAACGCAAGAGATTCTTCTTTTGGTATTCATAATCCAGGCTTTTCATTTAGACATTTTGTTTTTTATTAGATGTTGTAAACTTGTTTTAAAGTAATCAAGGCTAACAGATGAGTCTATTAAATGACTGATTTGGGGCAATGATAAGTTATGTGCTCATCCTGTGTGAGCATTTAATGAGGGTGATCTTGTGGGGATAAGAATTTATTAAATAAGTACATAAGTAGGAGAAACCAAGGAGCTTTGGTGGCCTAATGGATAAGGCATTTGCTGCTGACCAGAGGATCAGCAGTTCAAACCCACCAGCTACTCCATGGAAGGAAGACGGGGCAATATACTTCTGTAAAGATTTACAGCCTCGGAAACCCAGTGGGGGTTGCTGTGAGATGGAGTCAACTCATTGGCAGTGAGTTTGGTTTTTATTTTTCCTTTTCTTTTTGGTAAAAGAAACTACTACAAATTAAAAATCACCACACTTAGGTCGTTCATTTTGTCACAACAGGTACATAATGTGCATAAGAGTTTCTCTTTGTCCTGGTACTTCATGTTATTCTTCAGTTTACCCAGAGCTTCAAGATTCTCCTTGGGATTCCTTAGAGCTCTAGAATTACAGCAAAAATAGACATAGATCTGCTGCTAGATGTTTTCATTGTGACCTTTACTTCCTGTAATGTGCGTGGTAAAGTAGGCACCACAGTTAGGACTTTTTATCACGATGCCACGTGTTTAGTACTGAAACATCATTACAATCTCAGATGCCTGAAGTCGTGGAAAATGATGTATAGAACAATTATTGAGGATTCTGAAACTTGGTTTCTAGCCTCAGCACCTGCACTGACTCACTTATTTTGAATCTCTTAACTACTCTATCCCTGAAGAAACTTTAAATTATAATATATGTTATACCTATTGTACAGCCTTGCAGTGGTAGTGGAGACAATTGTGTTTATAAAACTCTTGGAGCTAGTCAACCCATTGTGCTGTAAAGAATATCATGATTTATTCGTGCATAAAAATGGTTTTTAAGAAGTGTCTGTCAGATAAATTTCAAGCCATAAAATTCATAATTGGTTGCCTCTTGCCAGCTAATTTCAACATACCATATCAAACCCTGTCCCTATCTTGTACTCCCACCACCACCAGCAAACACACTCTTTGGAGTGATAAATAAGTGATTCGTGGGGATGGGTGAGCAAAATAATACAGATTTAGCGTGTTTAATTAGAGTCGATAAACATTGAGTACATCTCTCTTAGATATTGGTAGACGCTGCAACTATTTCACCTTATTTTAATCCATTGTTCTCATCTATAAAACCAGTTGATGAACTCAGAGGCTGTGCCAGCATCCTCTAAAACTACATGAATGGCTGATAATTATCCATTGTTTACCTAAGGATTTTGCCATAATGTGGAAGCTATTTCAGCATAAGATGTCATACCTGTAAGTTGGACAGGGTCCATTCCATGGCCAGAGCTCCTCACTCTCCTGTGTGTTTTCTCTCCCAAGCACCGTATGTAAAGGTGTATCTTTTAGATAATGGGGTCTGCATCGCCAAAAAGAAAACAAAAGTGGCAAGAAAAACGCTGGAACCCCTTTACCAGCAGCTGTTATCATTTGAAGAGAGCCCCCAAGGAAAAGTTTTACAGGTATTTACTGAATTTCTATTCCTTACTTACCCAAGAAAAGCCTTTTCATGGAGTGAGACCTTATATCCACCATCTTTTTTTCTTTTTTCCATCACATTCCTTTCTGTTCCCCACAGCTTGACATCTTTGGAACTTCAAAGCAGTAGCCAGTGTTTTAAAACCCTATACGCTGTTTTTTTCCTTGAAGTGAGTCACAGACTTGCAAACCCATCACAGTAGACTCCAGTCTACTCTCCTTAAAGTGCTTATGGTCTTAACACTCCTCTACAGTTTTCTAATGTAGGGTTGGATTCCAGCAGTTAGATACAACACTCCCAGTAATTAAACACAGCGATGTAACATGATCGGAGTGCCTGGTGGCATCCTTGCTGAGTTCTTGACTACTGACCTAAAGGCTGAAGGTCCATACTCACCCAGAGGCACCTGAGAAGAAGGGACTGGCAGGCTGCTTCTGACAGGTCACAGCCTCAACAACCCTGTGGGGTGCACTTCCGCTTTGCACACACCACGTCACCACGAGTCAGAATGAACTCGACAGGAACTGTTTTGTATTCATTTAACATGATGTTTGATGTCAGATCATTAACTGAATCAAATCTTTTTTTTTTACAAAGTTTTTCTCTTTTTTTTTAACACCCATGATTATACTGATATCTTGCTCCTTTTTATTTTACCAACAGATCATTGTCTGGGGAGATTATGGCCGCATGGATCACAAATCCTTTATGGGAGTGGCCCAGATCCTTTTAGATGAACTGGAGCTATCCAATATGGTGATTGGATGGTTCAAACTTTTCCCCCCTTCCTCCCTAGTAGATCCAACTCTGGCCCCTCTGACAAGAAGAGCTTCCCAGTCATCTCTGGAAAGTTCAACTGGACCTTCTTATTCTCGTTCATAGCAGCTGTAAAACTGTTGTCATAGCAACCAGCGTTACAAAACAAACCAACCAACCACAGGTCGCAAACCCTGGTAACACTGCATGCTTAATGTTGTGTCTTCTGAGCCTGTTTCTAGGGATACAAAGTGATCCTGTGTTCTCAGAGGAAGTTGCACACATTGTGCCCTAACGACAGCCCTCAGGTGAATGAGCAGAGCTATGAAGAACTATCAGGTTAGGAGTTCAGTGACACTTGAGTTTTGGTCCAATCTGAAGCCATGGATTAAAGAATCAGTCAGTTTCATGCAACAATTGCCCTTTTCAAATGACACCTTTATATTTTTATCGTTCCTTTTTCTTCATTTCTCTGACCCCAAAGCCCTGTTATGCCACAGAAATGGAGCTATACAGCCATTAAGCCATGTTACAAGGCAAGGAGTGAAGCTCTAGGCAGCATCAGGTACAAAGCAGGAGACCAAAGAAGTGGTCCGGAGCAAAACGGCAGCCCTCCTCTGGACAGTGCCTGGGAGCAGTCCCGCGGTCCAGCGCCAACAGCAGCGACTCTGGAGCTCCAGCCGGAACGCCACTCATCAACCAAGAGGTGCAGGACTCTGAAAAGCCAGATGCTGTGGCTACTGTACTGAACGAAAGGAAAGAGACTTGTTTTTGCATGGACACAGATTAGCTGAATACTTAAATTATTTTCTTGGGGCTGCAACTTGCAAAAAAATAAAATAAAAATCAGCCATTTTCAACAATTTATATTATTTTTAAAAAATAAATTTCACTAGTGCATGGTTTTAAAAAGGGGAGAGAATGCACCAGGGAGATACAAAGGCACACCATGTTTATTCTTTAAACTAATCGGTCTGTGTTTTGGCAGACATTACAAAGGAGAATCCTTTCTAGAAGATACTGAAAATTCTCTTTATGGGACAAATATGTATAATATATTCAGTTTATTTCCATGTTAAATATGCAGATCTTATAAAGTTCAATATTATGTGCAAATCGTTCACGTCTCTCTTCCTCTTCTTGTCTTACTTTTCCTCTTCTCCCTCTTTTAAGTTTTCATTTTACTTCTCCCCAGCAGAGTGAACATTATACTAAAAAATTACAGATTTTTGACCTGATACCCTCTTATACCCCATGTTTGATTCAGGGCTATAGATGCTTCTGAATTTCTGAATTTCTCATGGGGGGAGGGCGGGAAACTAAGAGCTTTCTTAATTTCAAGCATGTTGAAAAGGATTTTGCAACATGACTTGGGAGTACATTAAAGTAAGTCAGCATGTATTTGATAAAGAAGATATTTGAACTTTTGCAATTTATTGTACAGTGCATGGTAATTTTTTTTTCACCTTCAAAATTCAGTTCTACAGGAAAACTCTAAAATTATGTGGCCATTGTAATCTCTAATAAATTTGTTTTTTAGCACCAGCATTCTTCATACAGGGGTTAAAGTATTATTTCTAGAAGGTCTTAGGTTTGTTTGGTTTGGTTTTTTTTAATTAAAGCAATTTCGTTAGCCAATTTCCATTGACTATGTGAATAGAAACACTGCTAAAAATGTGGAGCCCTGAAACACTGGGCTGTTTATTAATTCGTTTTTCTGTAGTAAAATTCAATTTTTCACAAATTATATTTCTAAAGAAATATAGTAAACATAAATTTGCAACAACAATTTTAAAGCTCCAGTTTTTAGGTGACTAAAAGAAAGTCAATATGCCTATTATTAGTTCTTTAATGCCATCACCAACAGTCTCCAAGCAACTCCCCTAAAGTCAGAACCCCCTGCCTTTGGTCTTAGAGACAGTTGTTACCATTGGGTGGCACTGCAAGGTCAAATATCTCTTCCGTTCCCCTACTTAGAAGAAAAGTCACTGGTTGATGTAACAAATAGCCCATACTTCTTGGATCTTTATGTGCACTTTGATAACACTTCCTTATCAATTGACTTTAATTCCTTAAATAACTTTTGAATTCCATACACCTTCTACTTAACTTTAAATTAAGGCCATGCACAAAAATTCTTTTCTTTGAATTTTTCTTTCTTTTTTTTTTTTTTTTTGAAAATTCAGTAATGCTGACCATTAAAAACTATCATGCTTGAATGGTGCAAAAGTTAAAATGAGTATCACTAAAAATGCCTTCTCTTTATGTGGTGCAATATGAAATACATTGAGACTATGTCTTTACATTCTGAGATCTACGATGGACCCAGATAAAGTTGTTAAAAGAATGAATAAAACTTTATTGAAATAATTTAGACACCTGTGTACCAGCAACAATTGATTTACTAGACCTATAGTGTCTATACTATCCCTTAGAATAAACGTTTACCATTTTCCTGATACTAAGATGCAGTCACATAATCTTTTGTGCATATTCCTATATAAATTATTTCTAATTTTAATAAGAAGGACATGACCATATGGGATATTTGTACATACTTGTCATTATGCAGTATTTATTTAAAAGTTGGTGTATTTTATTTTATTTTTTTTAATTTTCACCATGTCTGCACCTCAGCTTGTGGTTTAGTCATGTAAATAGCACTATTCCAGTGACCATTGCTGCCCTGTACATAATATGTTTTAAAAGTAAAGGGAATTCCAGTTGGGAAAAGAAAAGAGGGGGCAGATTAGTCCTGTAATGAACACCAACTAATGTACATCAAATTTATTCTGGTGATGGTATTTAACACTTTAAATAAAACGTTTTCTTTACAGGCGTCGTACGCAGTGCTTTCTCTGACACCTCTCCTCCCCACACATCCACAGGCCTGCTGTAGCTCGTTCCCGGAAGTCATCCATCAGTTTAAAGACCAGGGAGTCATCTTTCTCTGCCTCTCAGTAATAGAAACAGACTGCTGGCCTTAGCAAATAGCCCGCAGCTGAGCATTTCCCTAAAGTGCCCATGGCTTTCTGCTCACACCATTAAAAGTTGCTGCTTTTTTAAAAAACCACAAAAAGGTTGATATTCTGGATCAAGGTGATTTCCAGCTGAATGACTCAGCAACTCACAGGTTTCCTGAGTGAAAGGATGAGATTGGCAATGTCCTCTTGGCCTTCACCGAGAGTGGAGTGAAAAAGGGTATGCACGAGGCTCTGCTCGTCCCTGGGTGAAGATGATGAGTGACCTTTGGCTGAAGTGTCAGTTCAGTTGAAAAGGTGCATTTTCAACTGGGGAGACAGTGTGGTAACCTAACATATAACAAGCCATCCAGAGACTGGCTCCTATTTTGTGCGAATGAGGCGGTGAGAGGGTTTGCCCACATCTCTTCTGGTTACCTAGAGCTGCTCTAACAGAAAATACTGCAAATGGAGGGCTTTAACAAACAAGAGTTTATTCTCTTACAGTTTGGGAGGCTAGAAGTCCAAGTTCAAAGTGCAGTTCTGGGGTCTGGGTGAAAGACTCTCAACCTTGGGCTTTAGCTCTGCCTCTTGCTGCCAGCCCACTGGAGCTGGAGGCATCTCTTCATTAAGGCACCTGCTGGCTGCAGAGACTGACAAACCCAAGGCTGACAAATACAATGGCATCGCCCCAAGATTACCACACAACACAGCAAGCCACTAGTTCAAGTCCAGAGACAGTGCCAGTATTGGCAGGCTGCTAAATGACTCAGCTACATGCAGGGTCCAAGCGAGCCAAAAAGCTGCAGACCATTCCCGAAGCTTCTTATATGCTGGAAACAGACCCCACTGCTAAAGCTACTCAGCTGTTCATGAGAGATTCCATCAGGAGTTGATTGCCATTCTCATCATGGGGAATAACTACCTCCAGCTGCCCAGCCACTCAAAACCAGGTCCAGGCAAGTTGACATATAACCCTAACTACCACATCTTTCTCAGGCAGATTCTCAAAGGGGGAGGAGGGGGCTTGCAGCGTTCCAAAAGGAGTAGTCTCTAGGTGCTAAATGTAAGAACTAGTTTGGGTTCATGTTTAATTGTACTGCAGCTGAAATTCAAGCCCAGCTGTCTCTCCATTCTTTGAATCAGCTATTTCCCCCCATTTTTAAGGGCTCATTTCTAGTCCATCCCCGGCCCAAGCCTATCCATCTTATATTTTCTTATTCAATATATAGCCTGTTCTCCATTTCTTTTCTGTTCATACACTCCTACTCTGAAAATCTTGTTTTTCTTATATGTCCTCTCCTAAAAAGCCCTTCTATTTCCTCAAAAACAATCCATGTGAGTTTCTTGCATCTCCAAGTTTAGGACTGAGCTCTTCCTGAGCACTTCTCAATTAAACACTAACAAAGGCTTGTGGAAGCCAAGATCTTTCTCCAAGGGATGCTAGATGCCAAAGCCCACAAGAAACTATAAGGGTCATGATACCCTTAACATCCTGCTGGCATTCACAGACAGTGCGTCTGCCTACCTTCGTTCTATGAACTGTATATTAAGATGCTGTTTGTAAGAGGAAATTAAAAAAAAAACAAACTATGCCACTCAAAATTCATGCAAGACTTGATTCAAACACTTCATGGCCCTGGGTGTTCTTTTTCTTCCTGTGAAATGAACAGTTTGAGCTACATACTCCACTATCAACAAATCAGCACTAAGACTAGCAGGTACTCTTCTTCAGGGCAGAAGCCATGTCTCTATTTTGTTTCTCTTTTGTATTGTCAGTGCTAGGATAACTTGACACATAGATGTTCAATAAGTATCTGTTGACTGAACAAAGATTTATTTAGCCCCTATTATTTTTGAAGCAAGAATGGCCAGACTTCGTCTCACCTATTTTGGTCATGTTGTCAGAAGGGACCATTCCCTGGAGAAGGATGTCATGCTTGGTAGGGTGGAGGGTCGACGAAAGAGGGGGAGGCCTTCAACGAGATGGATTGATACAGTGGCTGCGGTGATGGGCTCAAGTATAGCAGGGATTGTGGGGCTGGTGCGGGATCGGGCAGTGTTTCGTTCTGCTGTGCATGGGGTCGCTATGAGTCGGAAACGACTCGACGGCACTTAACAACAACAACATAACATTATTTTTGAGGCACTATTCTAGGCACAAAG